GCACAACTACAGAATCACGTCTTTCCTCAAGCTGATGGAGCCCAGCTGCTAATTCTAAGGCGTGGAATGGTTATAGACCTTTCGAGTCCGTTTCACGCACATGTCTCCAGCCTTTGGGAGGTCAGCCCTGGCCCAGGTCACGGCTCCAGTACACACAAGGCTCAGGACGCCCAAACCAGCTGTGACAGCAGAGCCAGCTCTGGGTTTCTAGAGATTGCATTCTCTTCCCTCAGGCAGCCCCATTCTGTGGGAACGTGTGGGCTGTGGAAAGGCAGCCTCAGGGGTCGGGTAAGATAAGATCGTCCCTTTGCTTATGATGAGACTGCTGGGCGACCACGTCTAAGACCTGCCCTGGTCACAGGAACACTGGCGGGGCCTGGGGATCATCTCCTCTGAGGAGCACTTGATTCTGCTGCAGAGAAAAGGCAGAGAGTGAAATATACTGTTCTCTCTCTTTTTTTTGAAAATCCCTTTTAACATAGATAAGGGGAAACAGCCGGGAGGAAAAGAAAGAAAAAGGAGACTAACTGAAGCCATGGTTTCAGAAAGTCAATCCCAGAAGGAGCAGGGCTGCTGGAGGGACAGGGAGGGAGTGGCTGGGAAGGGTGGAAACAGACTGGGTTTATTTGTGCACAAAGGGAAGCTCCTCAGGAGACACAGGCTGTGGAGGGGGATGCAGAGCAGCTTCTAGAAACAGTCCCCAGAGCCAGAGCGTGAGTCCTAGAGGAAGGGGCTGGTGAGTGTAAGGAACCAAGGGAGAAAGACCAGCAGACAGTGCAATGAAACATCACGAACTTCTTCTAATATCAAAATAGAGGTCGTTTGTGGGAACTACAGACAGGCCGGAATTGAAGTAAATGAAAGTGTTGCCAAAACGTAAAAGTGAGGTCAAAGTCGATTCATTGATGAAAGTCCAGGTAATCCTTATTTATTTATTTATTTTTGAGGCGGAGTTTCGCTCTTGTTACCCAGGCTGGAGTGCAATGGTGCGATCTCGGCTCACGGCAACCTCCCCCTCCTGGGTTCAGGCAATTCTCCTGCCTCAGCCTCCTGAGTAGCTGGGATTACAGGCACGTGCCACCATGCCCAGCTAATTTTTTGTATTTTTAGTAGAGACGGGTTTCACCATGTTGACCAGGATGGTCTCGATCTCTTGACTTCGTGATCCACCCGCCTCAGCCTCCCAAAGTGCTGGGATTATAGGCGTGAGCCACCGCGCCCAGCCAATCCTAACTTCTTTACATATTATTCCAACTTGTATTTTCTCTGAAAGTCAAAATATCATCTTAGTCAATTAACAATTATTGGCGATAACATTTATTGGTGAAGTTGAACTACGCATCTTGAAGGTGACATTTATACTGTATATCAGGTGCTGCTCTACAGGCTTTCAAAATTATCCGAGTCTTGAACTTCTGCAAGCCTGATTTTTAAAGAGAAAAAAGGTTCGATGAGTCAGTGACACACCTGAGATCACCTAGCTTAGAAATTACAGGATTAGGACGTGAACCCTTGGAGCCCATCTGTTTCCATGCTCAGAATCCCTTTGCTAGACTGTGCTACTCTTATGTAACCATGATTATCCATGTTTGGTCAATATAAGAAGCTATTTTTTTTTAATAAAACTTTACTTTTAACCAGAATATGTTAAGTGACAGGACAAGAGCTTTACCCATTTATCCTTGACCATCATCTTCCAATGGTGTGACAAGCTTCCCTGAGCAGTGTTGCCAGCACATGAGATTCACCTGCAAGATTTGCCTTTAGATCTAAACTAGGCAGGAAGGGCTGACTTCACAGAACTTTGGAAACAATCTGAAAACATCAAGTTTTTCTTCCAATTGAATAAAAAAGGGATTTTTCTTGCTTGTGGGCTATGTTCGGGGTAAGCTGTTTAAAGCTCTGGACTTGCCCTGTCTAATACGATAGTCTTTAGCCACATGTGGCTATTTAAAACTTAATTGTAATGAACTAAAAGGAGGTGAAGTTATGAGCTCAGTTTATCAGTTGCACTTGCCACATTTCGGAGACTCAATGGTCCCATGTGGTGAGTGGCTGCCATACTGGACAATACTGCCCCAGACCAAAATACTCAACCACTTCACTTTCCTGAAGCTCAGTCTCCTGTATTATAAGGGGCTAAGACTGCTAATGTCCTTATCATAGCACAGTGGCTGGTGACATGAGAAAATGCGTGAATCCTTCGCAGGTGGTAAAGGACTGTACTTACAGACGTGTGTTGTCTTTGCTAATTGCCGGACGCTGGTCTTTGCAATACTAAGACTTTGGCCCCAGGATCTTGGAAGCTGAACTATGCATCTTGAAGTTAACATGCATGCTTTGTTCCTTAAGACTGAAGTCCACATTCTGCACCGGTGACCATTTCTGACAGTTTCTCTTACTGTGGAACGTTCCATTCCATACACATATAAAAAGCGAAATGTGTGACTTTACCATCTGGACCACGTCTATTAGAATTTAATAGGAAAAAGTACAGTGACCTAGAAGCTGGTAAGAGTCATGATCTTTCGCCCCGTAGAAAATGGATTTTGTGGATCCCAGGGAAGGTGAATGAGTAGTGTCCTCCCGTGTGCTTCACGGGGTCAGTGATAACCAAGGTCAGTAGCTGGTGACTGGCTTAATGACTACCACACCCTGGCTCAGATGAAAGAGAGAATGGGACTGACCGGTGCTGACTGCCTTTCCTATACCTCAACTGGTTCCTTGTAGGGAGCTAGAATTTCTGTGTCCACTGATCATTGGCGTTTCCATCCAGCACAATGGAGAGAAGTCTGAGGAACGTCCTCGTGGTTTCCTTCGGGTTCCTGTTTCTCTTCACAGCCTATGGAGGTCTGCAGAGCCTGCAGGTACGTGCTTCCGTCATCCTGGCACCTGAACTTCTGAACACTTTTAGCCTCCAAGAATCCCCGTGCTCACAGACGATAATGAATTGGAATGTCAAAAAATCTGATTGCTCTAGTGTTTCTTTTTCACTCCGCACCAAATCCTCTAAAACACCCGGTGGTTCTCAGATGAGTCCTACAGTGTGCAGTTCCCACTCACGTCAGAATAGGCTTCCACAGCAGCGAGGCATGCCTTGCTCTTGGACAAGGACAGCGGGGGTCTTGGGATCGTGGTTTGTTGGGACAGTCTTTGCCTTTGCGTGGTCAAAAGGAGACACAGGAAAAGTCATTGTGAATTCCGTGGTTCCATGCCCTTGGCTTTGCGTTTAGCGATCAGGCTTACAGGGGCTAAAATGGCAGCCATTGGTGACTCTCCAAGTCAAGTAGAAGGGAACTCGCTCTCGTTTCTTGTCGTGATGCTTCATTATTTTGGGTCCTTGCTTTGCCCAGAGCTCTGTGTTGTTGTCACAGAATGTTCTTGTGTGTGACACGCCTGTTGTATTGTTGGGTTGTACTGAGCCCATGTTGAATGTGGCAGGTGCGTGCTTTCTAGAAGGAGGGCGTCACAAGGACAGGGACTGGTCAGTAGCACTTTCTCTTTAGAAAGCTCGCCTGCTGCAGAAGGAGACCCTGCTGTCTTACGGGCACCACAGCCCCTGGGCTCAGATTCCTAGGAAGCAGTTCCGGTGGATGTGCTGTGGCTCAGCTGCTGTCTGGAATTGGCCTCTGGACTTGGAAGCCGGAGGAAGAGGGCAGGAGGTTCCTGGGTGTGCCCAGGTGTTCCTCCTCTCAGGCTGTGACAGCAGGACCCAAGGCTGCTGGCAAATGTGGCAGAAAACCCTTTGCCTCTGTGGCCCCAGCTCAGGGGTGCCTGTTGGGGAATGACTCGCGGTGCTCTCTGGACGAGCTCCATGGCTGCCAGCAGCTGCATGGGGAAGAGACACGCCCCACGCCCTGTCGGCACTTCCCACTCCTCCGGGGCTGTGGGCAGTGGGAGCTGCTGTGGTGTAATGTGAGCCCTTTTACCTCAAAACACTGGAGATGCAGCAGAGCCAGACCTCTCTCTCTGCAGGGTTCCCCAGGCCGGGGAACAGTCCCCCGACTCCTTTTCCCCTGGGTCCCAGCCCCACCCACATATTGTCAGCAGCTGACCCTGAGCATGTGGACGTGCTTTAATCCTCTAACGGGACAGCTATCTCTGCTCCTCAGGACCAGTGTGAGCAACACAGACTGTGCAGCTAGAAGTGACTGGGGAATGGCTGCAGTCTCACCACGCGGAGGTGCCGTCCTCTCTCCATCAACCCAAAGGCCCTTCACCGAAGGGCCGAGGACACTCACTTGTGGCACCTCCCCTGCAGCCGCCACCTCCTCTCAGCCTTCCTGGCTGCAGGCCTGCAAGTTCTCATTCAGCTCTCAACTTGAGGTCACCGCCTTCTCCCCACCCTGCCCAGGAGCTGAGGTCTGGGTGGGGTGCCCAGCAATCCGAGGTGTTGGGAACACCCTCGTGGCAGCGCATGCCTGCCTGTGTCTTCACCAGTGGTGGTGGCCGGCGGGTTCCAGGACACAAGGGCCCCGTCCCTTGTCCATCCTGGAACCTCAGGCAGTGACGGGCACGCGGAGGTGGGTGACGGCTATTTGGCAAAGAAAGAAGTCACTCATGTGCACTCACCTGCTTCACATCCTTGGGGCCTTCCCGCGGGCTGAGGACCCCTTCCCGTCCCCAGGAGGGTGCAAACTCCTCCAGAGCAGCTCTGGCGGCGTCTCCAGCCCCGTCTGCCACCCTGTCTTGTTCTCAGTCAACACGGGCGGACGTCCACAGAGGCATGAGCGCCTCTCACAGCCCCTCAGCCCAACACAAGCCTTGCAGGGGCACCCACACTTCCCTCCCTGATGTTTGGACGCCCTGACTGCTATATTCCAAATTCACATGCACTGTCCTCCCTCCAGCTGCAGAGGCGGCTTGCAGGGCAGCAGGCCTGTGGCTGGTGGTTCCTGGAACTGTGGCGGTGTCCAGCCTATGGGACGCTGAGGACCTGATGGGGCCTCATCCTGCTGTGCCCATCCCGTGCTCTGACAGGGCTGGCTTTGTTCCCACAGAGCAGTCTGTACAGCGAGGAGGGCCTGGGTGTGACGGCGCTCAGCACCCTCTATGGAGGCATGCTCCTGTCCTCCATGTTCCTGCCACCGCTCCTCATCCAGAGGCTGGGCTGCAAGGGGACCATCCTCCTCTCCATGTGTGGCTACGTGGCCTTCTCCGTGGGCAACTTCTTCGCTAGCTGGTATGCAGCTCCCCAACCCCGGCCCCACCCTGGCTTCTCCCCACACTAGAAAGGCTCCCTTGGCACACAGCTTGCATTTGTGCCTAATTACCGTCCACTGCAGGCATTTTAAAGTGAACTCTGCTGCCCCCTCCCGTGCCTCACTTTGGTGACAGAGGGTGCTGGGCTTCCTTCCTCTTTTCTCACCAAGGCTCCTCTGTGCCCCCCACCTCTTCTGTCTCCTCCTCCTGATCCCCATGCTGATCGCTCCCTGGGATCCATGCTGATCCTCAGCTTTCCTGGCTGGACGAAGGTTCTAGTAACACAGGGGACTCTAACTCCAATGCAGAGTCTCGTGGGCACTTAGGCAGATGCCACCCATGGACCAAAAGCTGCCCCTCGCCCACCATGAGGAGATGGGTACGGCCAGGGCAGTGGCAAGGGTGGGAGCCCACCCTGCTCCCTGGTGAGACGGACCACAGAGGCCGAGCTCTGAGGGTTTCAGCTACACACCCAGGCCTGGGAACACAGCCACAGAGCATCACCTCAAGGGGCCCTGGCTGTGACCCAGGACATGCCGATGGTGACGGCTGCACTTCCTACTCCCTGGGAGCTGCCAGGTCTCACACAGCACCCGCTGTCAAGGCGTGAGCTGGTAGCTTGGTCTTCTTAGCGGGGCTGCCACTCGGCCTTCCTCGTGCTCCTCGGCTTGTGGTTTCTGGGTGCATCCAACACAAGGAACCTCACTGCTGTGAGTTTCACTTTCGCAAATGAGCCCGAGCTGGAAAAGGCGCTGGTTTTGCTCATTTATCTGAGTCGAATGGGAAATCCATCCATGCAGCCAGCAACACTCATCACCAGGCTTGCAACGGGCCAGGCCAGGCGCTTCCTTCTCCCACATAGACTGAAGACCTCAGGGACACGGTGCCACCGGCTTGCGTCTCCGGTCACAGGCGGTGCCGTGGGTCTGCTTTTACCCCCAGGTACACTTTGATCCCCACCTCCATCCTGCTGGGGCTCGGGGCCGCCCCGCTGTGGTCTGCGCAGTGCACGTACCTGACGATCATGGGAAACACGCGTGCAGAGAAGGCGGGGAAGCGTGGCCAAGACGGGGTGACCCAGTGTTTCGGCATCTTCTTCCTCATATTCCAGTCATCCGGTGTGTGGGGCAACTTGATCTCCTCGCTGGTGTTGGGCCAGACTCCCAGCCAAGGTAAAAGGCAAAGGGGCAGGCAATTGTCTGCAAGTGGAGCGGGGGTTTCGGCGATGGCCGCTGGGGGAGAGGGGTCCTGATTTCAGTTGAGCACCTGCCATGATTCTGCAACCTGAGCAGGTGAGTCATGCCCCACAGGTGAGGTTCTCGACCTGCCTGTGCTTCAGAGTCTCCTGTGCCTGCTGTTTTCTGGACAGTCAGGTAGGACTGAAGAACACCTGTCTCTTCCACAGATGCCTCTGCAGGGGCAGGGGAGCCCTTGGGAAAGGGTGCCGTGGGGGAACTAAGGGCCATGCCAGCACAACTGGGGTTCGTGGAGTCACAGCTGCACAACTAGCCTTTTGAGACTAAGCATGGGGTGGCCTGGTTGCTTTTCCTTCTGACGTGATCCACTGAGCAGACTTTCACCTGTGTCATGGCAGGCCCTCATCCCACGACCTACGTGGACGTTGGCTGGGCCGATGCCCTTCTCCTCTGTCTCTACCAGACCTTGCCCTGTATAACACAGACGTCTCATTCATACCCACGTCCTTAGTGCCCATGTTGAGGCTTTAAGCCCAGGGCAGAGGGCGTACATCTCTTTCATGCTTATAGGAAACCTTTCCCATGGGGCACAAACCAATCCAGCATTCCTGACGAGTATCCCGACTATTTCTATGAGTCCATCAGCATGCTCCACCTTGCTGTCCCATAAAAGAACAACTCTGTAGCCAAAAATCCCTCCTGCTTCTCCTCATGCAATGTCATCCTTGCTAAGTACATTTGGAGAAGGCAAGCTGGGAAGTGGACGCAAAGCCACTTTTACTCATTATTGCTGTGGCTGTCAGCGACAGTGACACAGAAACTGGGGTTAAAGCTCAGGCTGCATATCAGGGCCTGCGTGAAGTGGAGCAATGGGCTTTTCTTCGGAAGACATGCCTGCAGGCGGGTGAATTCCCCAGGTGAGCACAAGAGGCAGAATCTGGGGCTGGAGCGTCACGCGTTTCTCCACCTTCTTGTGCCTTCTCTCATCAGCTGCACAGCTCACCGCCTAGAAGCTTTTCTGAAGCTGTCTGTGACATTATTTGTGTTAGTAAAATAATAAAAACACTGAATATTCTTTCTCCCATGACATCTTTGTCCTCTCTCCAGATATTGTGACAGGAGTTCTGACTGGGAGTCATTGCTAATTCAAATTTTATTCTTTAAGAGATCGTGGAACTAACATGAGTTTTCAAAAACAGAAAAGTTGTGAAACTCCTGCCCAAAGTCACGGAGTTGGTTACAGATGAATCTGAAAGAGCATCCAGCGTCCTGGCACCTAACCTCATGTACTTCTTTCTCTTTGACTAAATTTGAAAACTTGGAAAATCTTAATTATGTCACAAAGGTAATATAAGAAATAACCAGCACTTTTCCACGTTCATTCTTCCCTGAATGTTTGCAGAGCTCTAATACGATTACCCACTTCCCAAAGTGTCCTAAATCTAGTCTAGGCACAGGTGCCTCGGGGTAAATGTATTGTGAGACACTGGGTCTTTCCACGTGACCTGTAGTGATGTCACCCCCAAGCGTCCACCATCCTTTCCACCATCACTTTCATTCCTCAGGCACCTATGTCTGACCACATTTGTGGTCACCTCACGTCTCCTGTTTGCTCAGACTTTACAGAGACCCTCCCAGAAGAGCAGCTCTCGTCCTGTGGGGCCAGTGACTGCCTGATGGCCACGGCGACCACCAACAGCACCCAGAGCCCCTCCCAGCAGCTGGTCTACACCCTGCTGGGCATCTACACGGGTATGTGCTCCCCCAGCCCCGGGCAGGGTCCCGAGCAGAGCAGAGCCAGGCCTCCTCCCTGGGCTGACAAAGACCACCTCCCCATGTAGGAGTCGTCTCTCTTCTGAAACATCCGTGCAGAATGTGCCGGGCTGGGTCACATGCAGGCGTTTTTCTCGGGAATCAAATGCAGTCCAGCAGTGCTGTCTAACGGAGGCTCCTGTGGTGAGGAGATCGTGGGACATCTCCAGAGCCCATCGCAGTAGCCACTCACCACTGGGCCTGTTGACCTCTTAACTGATCACAGTTCCCGTTCCTAAGTCTCCCAGCTGCACTGCAAGTGCTCAGCAGTACTGGGGGCCGGCGGCTCCCGCAGCAGACAGCTCGGTGGCCAGCTGGGACACGGGGGGTTGACTATTTGTGTTTCAGCTGTGTCCACGGGTCCCTGAACTTCCGTAATCTCTATGAACCACCATCTTTCTCTGGGAAACATACTGAGTGCCCTCTGTGGAAAGGCTAGTGGGGTGCGTCCTCCCGAGTGCTGGCTGCGCCCCAGCTGGAGACGTTACAAGGTCCTGTCTGCCCAATGGAAGTTAATTGTCATGACAAAGCTTATTCTTAGGAGCTCATTTTAATAGAGTATATTATGTTAATAGTTTCATATGTGACTTTAGTGCTATATTCAAAAGTTTATTACAACTTTGAAGGGAATACAGTTTGAGAGTTTTTAAAACCATTTCAAAAGGAATTTATATTCCTTTTGGCTGGGCACAGGCTCTCACCTGTAATCCCAGCGCTTTGGGAGGCCGAGGCAGGCAGATCACTTGAGGTCAGGAGTTCAAGACCAGGCTGGCCACCATGGTGAAACCCCATCACCACTGAAAATGCAAAAATTAGCTGAATGTTGTGGTGGGGGCCTGTGATCCCAGCTACACAGGAGGCTGAGGGAGGAGAATGGCTTGAACCCGGGAGGCGGAGGTTGCCGTGAGCTGAGGTGGTGCTGCTGCACTCAAGCGTGGCCAACAGAGCGAGACTCTGCCTCAGTGCACATGTGTATTCTTTGTCATTCTTGGATTTGGGGATTCATAAAGGCCTTGGAATGCGTCCTTCTTGAAGAGGAAAGGCCTGGCAGCTGTGAGCTCTGGGGCACCGGGTCTCGCGCTCTGCCGGGGTCAGAGGAGAGGAGGGTTGGTGCGCACTGCAGACCTTTTCCTCTTGCTGAGGCCACACGCTGCACCCACCCTCAGGTCCCCTCGGGCCACTTCCAAATCAGAGGCTCGGAGTGAACACTTGTAACACAGTCGCTGGCAGTCGACAAAGCATACTGAGCACCAGCGTGTGCCATGCTGGGCCCCCTTGGTCCAGACACTCAGCTGACCAGAGAAGCTGGTCTTTAGTGAGCTGAGAGCCTAGAGAAGGAGACAGACCCACTCCCAACTCACCGAGACCCTGTCCCGCAGTGCTCTGAGCTCAGTTCCCAGCTGACTGGCAGCATCTCCCTGGAGCACTGGGTTGTAGGAAAGCCTCCAGGGTGGGTGGTCCCTAAGCTGAGTCTGGACAATGAGCGAGATTTGGCCAGGCAGGGAGGTGATGCCAGAGGGCCTTGGGGGCAGAGATGCAGAGAAGTCCAGGATGAGCTGCGGGGCTGGGGCAAGGTGCAGGGGCAGAGAAGCAGAGAAGTCCAGGATGAGCTGCGGGGCTGGGGCAAGGTGGAGGGGCAGAGATGCAGAGAAGTCCAGGATGAGCTGTGGGGCTGGGGCAAGGTGGAGGGGCAGAGACGGGGCACAGGACGAGCTGTGGTCCTCGACGTTGTGTCAAAGGGTCTGGACGGGTGCAGACTTGCCTCCTAGGCAGACCCTGTGCCAGCCTGACCTGGAGGTGTGGAAGGACAGCGGGCAGACGCCCACTGAGGATAGAGTGCAGAGTCCAGAGGAGGGAGCAGGAATGGGAGGCAGAGCTGGAGGGGCTGAGGGAGAGGCCAGCAGGGCTCCTGTGGGTTGGACATGGTCTGGGGAAGAGTGACACAGCCCTGGGGTTGAAAGGAAGATGAGGTCAGGCCGGAAACACCTGGCTTGAGGACGCAGCGGGACCTTTGCATAGTGTCCAGTGGGCAGTTGGATGCCGTGCAGGGCTCAGGCCAGAGGCAGATGCAAGTGTGGACATGGAGGCATCTTCCGAGGGGGTGAGTGGAATCACGACAGGGATGAGGATCTGGGGGAGAAAGGCAGAGGGAATTTTTGTGGAGAAGGGAGTACAGCCGGGCCCCTGGTTCAGCAACACTAAGGGCCAGGCAGAGACCCGGAGCCTTGGGAGGAGACAGAAAGCCAAACCAGGGTCTGGGAGGACACCAGGGCTGCAGGATCAGCTGGTGTTTTGAGAGTGTTGAGTGAGGAAGGGCTCCCAGGAGGCTCAGGGAGGAGGCCGGCCCAGGCTCTCAGCCAGTGAGAGGCTGCTGACACCCCTCAAGAGAGCCACCTGTGGGGGTACCGGCATGCAAAGCCCAGACCGAGGGTTGTAGAAGGGAATGGAATGTGGGGACAGGGAGTCGGGAGAAGCCACGGTTCCTCTGGTCTACAAGTCTCTGCTGACTTGGAATCCCAGTCACGTTTTCCCAGTGGGCCCCGATGTTCCCATCCACATGGTCCCGGGACCAGCCAGGCCTGTGCTTCCTCCACACTTCCCCTCGTCGCCGCGTCTACACAGCCGGGAGGCTGGGGGACTCGAGGACATTGAGCTGCGTCAAGAGCCTCAGGCCTCCTTCCAGCTCCGCCAGTTCCTGTGCAGCCACCAGCACGGATGTCTGCTGTCTATAAAGGAACAGAATTTTGGAGCAGGGCTGGCAGCCTTCCTCTGTGAAGGGCTGACTGCAAATATTTCTCCACGTAAAGACCTTTTTGAGGATCACACGGTCCTTGTTGCAGCCGCTCAACGTTGTCTTTCTGCTGGGAAAAGCCACAGACAACACGGAAGCGCATGAGCGTGCCCTCGTGCCAATAAGACTTTATTTTCAAAAGCCGGCGGTGAGCAGGCTTTGGCCCGCAGACCACAGTTCGTCGGCCCCTGCTCTAGAGGGACAGCACAGACATCTCTGTGCCTTCCAGGCCCTTCGTTGCCCTCTGTCCTCCACAGGTGGCTGCTGTCTGCTGGGCCTCCCATGCAGGGACACCCTCAGAGTGCTCCCTGGCCACAGCCACAGCCATGTAGGCCTCACAGACAGTTCTCAGCTCAAGGAATCCCTCAGGCTGAGGGAGTCAAGGTGTAGAAGTGACGGGCAGCAGAGATCACACCCATGTGAATGAAGGAGCTGTCTTACCATTGTGATCACAGCAACCTGCAGGATCCCATATGTCTTTTTTCCTATGTCATAAAGAAAAACACAGGAAAAGAGAAAAATGGACCTAAAAGAACAAGAACAGCCTCTCCCTGGGTAGCCTTGCCAGCTTCCTGAACGTTGCACTCATTGTCAAGTTTCTTGCAAAGAGCCGTTCTGTTTAGAACTTAGGACACAGCTGCTCAGTATCCCCCAGTGCAGGCCCCTCCGCGGGCTCCGAGTCACACGACATCTGGACACACAGAATTCCAAACAAAGCCATGTGGCTTCTGTGTCCGGAACCTGCCTCTCCCCTCCCAGGAGGCTTCTGGGGGAGATGGGAGGTCATGTCCTATTGGGCTGCTTGACACCGAAGTCCTGGTCCAAAGATAAGATGGTGGAGAAGGGGCTTCCTTCTGTGAGTGGAGAAAAATGTGCCTTTTGCACATGGCCGACACACGGTCAGCTCCAGGGGTCAGCTTGGAAGGGAGCCCCGACACTTGAAATACCCTACAGCCTCCTGTTCAGGCCTGCCAACCTACCAGACCCTGCGGGGGCCAGGACAACACAGAGGGAAATGAAGGCGACTGAGAAACGAGCATGGCCACGGGACTCCCGCTTTCATATGGAATTTCACAAACTCCATGAGAATGTTGAATTATCATCACAAGGGAAGGGGCATATGTTTAGCCAAGATGGAAAGTAGCCGGATAACAGAAAGTGAAGCCTAGAAATAAACCTGTGCATTTCTGGGTGGACCGGCATTGACAGCGGTGCCTTCTGAGACGGGTGCGAGGATTCTGCTGTGTCTGCGCACAGCACGGAAGGCAGCTGGCTTTGCAAAACCTCCCAGTTTCAGGAACGCTCAGCTGCTGGGCTGTCCTGCTGTGGCAAACACACTGCGTGGCACGTGAGGAGGCTGACACTGAGAGAGGCAGAGAGAGCACTAGATAAGGCTGCTCAGATGCAGGAAGATAAGATGATAATTCCCCGCTCCTCCGTCTTTAGAGGAGCAGGGGTCTAAGCTCTCGGAGGTAGGAATGAGCCGCTCTGAAAGGTTCTGGCCCGGAGAGCAGGGAAGAATCGCCGCCCCTCTTGAGTGACCTGTGGTGTCGCAAACACTGTATCATTAGCACTGCCAGGTGGGAGAGCAGCAGTGGAGACGTGATGGCATCACCGAGAGCACTCACCAAGGGACCAGATCGTCAAGGGACCAAAGGGCTTCTATGTACAGTGAGAAACTCCCAAAGAAACCTCCGTTCTCCAGTTCTCCGTGGACAGAAACTAAGTTGTATCAAATAATCAAGTGGTGGACAGAAGTGATGGAGATTTAGCCATCATATTTTGGAATTATGAGAAAGGACAGGATGTTTCCTCATGGAGGAAATGAATAGTTACAATACTTTTGCATAGATAACCCATTTATATAGCTCACAGTGCACATCCAGGAGTCCCCCTTGTCCCCATTTCATTGAGTGTGGCTTCAGTGACCTGAGGCCAGCTGCAGTCCAAGAACCTTTAAGTGGAAAATTCCAGAAATAATAGTTTATAAGGTTCAAGTTGCACATTGTTCTGAGTAGTGCAATGAAACTCTCGTGGTCCTGCCCGTCCCGCCCGGGCCCTGACCCTCCTCTCTGTCCAGAGTGTCCACAGCGTAGACACCCTGCCCAGGCTGTGACCCTCCCGTCTGTCTGGCGTGTCCACACCACGGATACTCCCGTGCCATAGTCTCTCGTAGCCGCCTCTGTTGTCCTAGTGAAAATACATGGTATGTGTAGCCTCTGACACCACCCATGGTTTCAGGCCTCCGCTGGGGGCTTGGAATGAACCCCTTTATCGGGAACCACTGCACTGTAAAAGGGCATGCGGCGGGGGGGTCTCCCTCTCACTGTGGCCCTCAGACCCAGAAAGCCCATGTCTGCTTTTTCCTAGTCATATTTATCGCACGTGTAAACAAACACATCTTTAAGTCCTTCCTTCCTAAACTCAAGTGGTAGCACACTCTCCACCAAGTGCTGCATCTGGGTCGGTTTTTCTCTTTTTACCGTTTACGGTGGGGATTTTCCCATTCTTGCATAAAGAACTTCTCTTTCATTTTCTTCAAATGCGTTAACATTTCAGTGCAGTTGGGATACCCCTTAATATCTTTAACCAGTTCCTACTGGAGGATTTTTACACAAAATTATTTATTTGAAATAAACAAAAGTGTAGCAAAGAACGCCTGTGGGAATCATGATCCTAAAAAATGAATCAATAAAAAGCTGGCTGCTGTTATAAATTGCTTAGAGGATTAGAATGAGAAACACTCTCAATGGTTAAGGACACTAAGGACGTCTGGGGTCTCTCCCTAATCTTTTACGTGTTATGCAGGTGAAGACAGTACTGACCTATTGTGGCAGGTTTCGTGTGAAAGCTGCTGAGTCATGAGCTAATCATAGAATCAGCACAGTCAGTGCAACTAGACCCTGGAGATCCTTAAGCGGCGGCATCCAATGTCACCTGAAATCAGGATCTGAAGAGCCCACCCTCTGCAGAGGAGGAAGAGCCACTGAAATAAATCCGTGCCAGGCCCCTGCCTCTGGGCCTTCAGGAGCGCTGAAGCATTTGCTCTTTCCTGGCAGGGAGTGGCGTCCTGGCCGTGCTGATGGTAGCTGCATTCCTGGAACCCGCACGAGATGTTCAACATCAACGTGGAGGAGAGAAGAAATCACCCCCTTTCTGGTCCACTTTGCTGTCGACGTTCAGGCTCTACCGAGATAAACGTCTGTGCCTCCTCATCCTGCTGCCGCTGTACAGTGGACTGCAGCAAGGATTCCTCTCCGGCGAATACACACGGGTATGAACGAAAGCCAGGGCCGGTGGCTCAGGCCACGTGTGGCGTCACTGCCCCGCCTGTGTCTGAGTGTCTCAGGCCACCTGCCCGGGGCTGGGGCTGAAGGGAATGGGATCCTGCACTCCCAGTCCTGCCACAGCTGAGGTCAGGATTCCAGGGCTCAACTTCCAAGAGACTTCCGGCTCCCAGGAGCTCCACTTCTCTCCAGAAAGAACATCTAGCCCAACCCGTGCCTTCCTGGGGAAAGAGCCAGAGCAAGTGACTGACACTCCACGCAGACACTCACTCGTGTTAACCTTGCCTGGGCCTCACCCTGCACCGTGGCTTTAGAGTTTCTGGATAGGAAAGGCATTAAGTCCATGAGTGCCACTGAGATTCCTTCTCCCTCTAGTTTTCAAATCATGCTTCACAATCTAAAAGTCGATGTGGCTCCCAGGCTTCTTCTTCGTCCACTCCTGCCCCCTTTCCCCAAAAGGTGAGAGAGGCAGTGCCCACCTCGAGGTGCATAAAGAAAGAAGCCTCTCTTGGGGACTGTTGAGAGCTGGAGGCCAGAGCCGGACCAGCGGGGGCCTGTGTCTGCGGCCCCACCCCCTGAGGCTCTCCTTCTGGAGGACCCGTCCCTGCTGTCCCCACCCCTGATTGCTCCCAGGCAAGATTGCCAACTTAGCAAGATAAAACGCACCTGCAGGTAGAATTTGAATTTCAGATAAACCGCAGATGTTTCTCAGGACTATGCACACGGACAGTCCCGTGCACTTGCTTCTGTCTGATAGGGCTACTTCCAGGACAGTCTGGACGGAGAATCTTAGGGGTTTACAAAAGTAAACGCAGATAACAGAAGGGTCCACTTGGCATTTTGGGGACAGCCCCTTCTGCTCCTCTACTGGACTTGTCCTTGTCACCCCCGTGTGGCTGTGGCCACAGTGTTCTCATCTTGGCCCCTGTCCTGCGTGCCAGCCCTCGAGGCCCCCGTGATGGGGAGGGGAGACGGGGGGGGGCGTGGGAGGGCAACCGCAGCCAGCGGCTGGGCTGCTCTGAGGCCCGGGGAGGTGGCGGGGCAACCTCTTCACTTTTCCTCTTTTTTTCAAGTCTCTTTAGACCTAATAGGCAATGACTGGCCCAGCAAGGGTAGGGCTGATTGGCTTCCTGTGAAATAATGCACGTTTCACAGCAAATGGCAGAGACTATATGAGGAATTTCATCCAGAGCTGCCCAAACTCCTCATTTTAGTTCTTCCCCAGAGAGGGTTTTCTTACAAACACGAGCTTTTCTCCTGCATGGGAGCCACAGAGCCGAGGGGAAGGCACGCGCCACACTGGCCTGCGGCCCTCTGAGAGTGGACGTTCCAGGCACCCGACTGCAGCTTCAGCTTGAGCCCGGGAGGCCTGGGAGCATCCGTGACGTGGTTCTGTCCCCCTCCCCAGTCCTATGTCACCTGCGCCTTGGGCATCCAGTTCGTCGGCTACGTGATGATCTGCTTCTCGGCCGCCGACGCGCTGTGCTCCGTGTTGTGTGGGAAGGTCTCTCAGTATGCCGGCAGGGTCGCGCTCTACGTGCTGGGTAGGTAGCAGCGTGGTGCATCCCAGCCGTCCTCACCATTGCAATCAGCCAAAGCGTGCAGCTCACAGACAGCACAGGGCAGGAAAGCTGCCCCTGAAACTGCTCTGACATTAGTAGCGCCCTGCAGAGATGCATTCATTCATTCAGGCCTTCCCTCGTCCCCTCAACAAGCAGGAATCAGATCTCTCCAGAGCTGACTCTGGGCAGGCACTGTGCCCAGCACGAGGCCACACAGCAAGTGCCTGCTCCGAGTGGGCACTCAGTGTAGTGACCAGGCCAGGGTGGGGTGGGGCAGGATCTCCGCAGGCACAGTGGAGGGACAGGAAGCCAGTGGTGAGACCGTGGGGTCAGAGAAGGCCACGCTGGGGTTGGGGCGGCTCTGTTCAGCATCTGTTCACACTGCAGATAATGACAAACCTTCTAAGGCTGCAGATTCCTCCCTAAACACACAGCGCCTTGCATTTTTCCTGGAAAGAGCAGGAAAGAGAAGAGTTAGAGATCATATGAGCAGTGAGGAATGTGGGCACTAAGAAATCAATAGCGCCTGGCACGTCAATGCCCCAGGCAGGGCTGGCGTGGGGTGCAGCCAGACGAAGGGCATGCAGTGAGCGTCCCCCAGTGCCGTGGAGCCCAGACACTCTGTCTGGGGTTTCCTATCTGTCTTCACAGTCACCCTGTGGAGCAAACAGTGTCCGCTTACAGACAGGAAATCATGGAGTGGAGAAGTGGAGGACTTGCCCTAGGTGGCACAGCTCCTGCCTTTCCGCCTCCCGAGACCCTGCTCTTCCCACTCCTCTGTGGTGTCTTGAGCGTCAGTGGGCAGCCTCATTACTGTATCCTAGAGACGCCACAGTCTGTGGAAATCGGGGCCCAAAGCTGTGAACTGCTCGGATGGGTCATGGGGTGGGGCCACAGATGCTACCTGCCTGCCTGCCTGCCGGGGAGGTCTGCGGCCTCCTCCCTCCTGTCCCTACGCCCCCATTTGGAAGCCTCAGATGACACCATGGCACACTGTGTCCTATCCCCTGAGCACTCAGAAAGGAGCTGGGATCCTTCAACTCATTCCTAATGACAAGTCCCTTCTCTTTCTGACTAATCCTCATAGATTAGGGGCAGCCTCAGGCCCAGACAGGGTGACCTTCCTTCCGAGGTGATGACAGACTACACCCAGCCCCTCCAGGCTGAGGCCGAGGGCCACACAGCAGGGGTGCGGTGCGGAGCATTGACTTAGAGCTGGCAACAGGCAGACACAGCAGCTCACAAATTAGATGTCAAGGTTCCAAGTGACAAGACCCTTCCAGAGCGTTCAGGGAACATGGAGCACGCAGCTTACGTTCCAGGGAGGGTGGCTCCAGCGCTGATCCCTCAGAGGGCCCTTCAGGCCATGATGACGACCCTCATCGCCCGGGGTCTCCCCTCTGCATCCCAGGCGCGGTGACCCAGCTGTCCTGCATCATCGCCCTCCTGCTGTGGAGACCACGTGCTGACCAGCTGGCGCTGTTCTTCGTGTTCTCAGGCCTGTGGGGCGTGGCAGACGCCGTGTGGCAGACACAGAACAACGGTGAGTACCCAGCCCACGCCCCTTCCTCTGGGGTGTCCCTGGTCCAGGCAACACTGGGGCTCGGTAGATGCCAATGGACCAGAGGCAGGAGAGGTGAGATGGGAGAGACGGGAGGGCCGAGACGGCTTTGATGTCCCCTCTCGTCGGATGTATTGTCTCTGAGCATTTCTTCAGATTCATGATACAGGAGTAAAACCACCCGAGGTTCCTTTTGGGCACCATTCCCTGGGGATGATGTTTCCCTCTACTCAAGTCTCCGTTCAAGCCTGGGTGTGAGACTCTTGACGCCAGGACAGTGGTCTCTTCATGAATAAAACCCTTTATTCAGACTGCTAATGAGTAGAGGCGCACTCCCCACCCACCAGGGCCCGGGTGTAAAGGCGCAGGGCCTTCCCAGGAGCCCTCGATGCGATGGAGGTGGCAGTGTGAACTACAAGCCACATGCGTCACAGGTCACCAGGATCAGTGTCTGTGGATAAGGCTCTGGGGTTTCCAGGGCAGTGGTGGGTTTTCTGGGAGCAGCAGGTGGGGGCCCTGTGGTATTGGGGAGGAGGGGAGGTCAGGGTGGACATTGTCCTAGAGACATCACGTCTGGGCTGACTGCTTTCCATGGGGGTGACGTGCAGGAGGAAGCCAGGACAGGAGGGGGCAGGGGCGCTCCCAAGGTCTTGTCGAAGCTGGGGTGCCCAAGAAGGCGGCCTAAGGAAGTGCAGAGGGGTGGGGTGGAGCAGCAAACCAGGTCCCCACCTGCCTGCTGGCCTGCGGGGGAGGGTCAGATGCACCCAGGCAGAGTGGAAGCCGCAGAAAGCTCTGACACCCAGAAGTGACCAGGAGCTACATGGAGTCCGGCCCATGTCCCAACAATCAAATCCAAAAGGCAGGTGACAAGGTCCAAAGTGCAGCCCTGGAGGGAGCAGGAGGGCTGGTTGTTGGGTGGAAGGTGACGTCCCGTGATGATGTCAGGAGGCAAATGCCAAAGTCCTCACAGACTAGGGTGGCCCAGCCCGGAGGTCAGGAGGGCAGCAGGGGCACCAGTGGGAGGTGAGCAGAAGCCCAGGCGCAGCCAGAGAGGAAGCAGCCCCAGGCTCAGGCGGCGGCACGAGAGAGGCCACAGGGCAGGCGAGCCAGAAGGGGATGCAGCCATTGAACCTGAATCCCCGCTGCTCAGGAGGCTGGGGCAGGAGAATCACTTAACTCCGGAGACAGAGGTTGCAGTGAGTGGAGATCACACCACTGCAGCCCAGCCAGGCTCTGCTGAGCCCTGCGTGGCTTTGTGCTGGCTGGCCATGTTTTCCACAGGGAGAAGTGGGAAAGGGTTTTGGAGAAAGTCACTAGGGAGAGAAGGAAACAGGACGTGTGTGTGGCCGCTGGCCGGAGGTGTGCGTTGGTTGAGAAGGAGAGATGAGGGCTTAGGGTGAGAACGCTGTTTCCCAAAAACCCCATCTAAGGCCCCGAGGGGTGTCAGTGGCCCAGTGAGGCAAGACTCTGCGCACCTAAGAGATGCGGATGAGGCAGATGAAGGGTCCTCTCGGAGGTGAGCATGGCTCACCTGAGACCTTCTTCCCTTCCGGAGACACATCACCCTTCTGCCTGTATCTGGCAAACACGTGGGGCTTAGAAAATGGAAAAAGCAAATCCACAAACGAACTACAGGCCAGTGTTTCTGAGATGAGAGACTTGGCGCTGAAGGTAAAGAGCAGGGGTGACCTCGATGGCGGCGCGAACACTCCAGGCACTTCCTCTCTTGTCTTCCTGACGGTGATGGGTCGCCTATCTACAGGACAGCTGAGAAAACCCACACGGTTGGATTGAAGGAGCCGCGCTTCATGTCCTTTCTGCGGCCTCAGCATTGCAGGCAGACACAGTGAAGCTCTTTACCAAGATGAGTGTGTACTCGGCCGGCCGCTCTGGCTTGTCACCATGGAAGCCGGGAGCCTGGGACCAGTGTACGGGACGTGGAGGCCAGGCGGGGGGCATCACTTCACAGAACAAACACTGATTTAATGGAGGGGAGACAAACAGAAACTCACTCGTGTTTCTGGCAGTGCAGAATTATGAGCTGGTGGCATGTCACGCGGCTGTAGTGCTTCGTTACCAATCAGCATCAGACAGCATTTACTCCAGCCGTCCCCTGAGGCGTGGCAGAGCCAGGGTTTTACTGAGCTCCCTAAAGGCACATCCCATTACCAGAAATGCACAGTGGCTTCTCTGAACCGACTTGATTTTAAAATGTATTTACACATTAAAAGGAAAACCCCGGGACAAATACCCCACGGTATTCTATACGATCATTCTCTAAATGCTCCCGGTGAATGTCATCATCCATTTTGATTTTTGTTCTTCCCAAGACATTGAATAGTGGACTCAAGTCCTCCCTTCCTTATGGGGACACAAGGTCCTCTCAGGCAAAACCCTGTGGAATTGTTAGAGTTACCTAAGGTCACGTAGAGTATGAATGTCCAAGTCCAGTGAATGGCTGGAATAAAGGCTCCCTTTAATAAGGGATGCTAATTTAAATGAAAATTATTTCTGTATTTTTGTACAGGGATAAAAAAGCAATTAAAAGAAATAAACCAAATTGGCTGGGCATGGTGGCTCACGCCTGTAATCCCAGCTACTCGGGAGGCTGAGGCAAGAGAATCACTTGAACCTGGGGCGGAGATTCTGCCGAGCTGGGATCGCGCCATTGCACTCCAGCTTGAGCAACAAGCGTGAAACTCAAAAAAAGAAAAAAAGGAAGAAAGAAAGAAAAAGAAAACATGTGGGCCACACTCCTTCCTAATGAACGACCCTGAATAAAACCCACTGCAGTTTGTCCTCGCCTTGCAGTCGAAGCTGCTCCATTGAAAGACGGATCATTACAGCCTCTCACGTGGAGGCAGGTCAGAGGATTCCCTGTTCCAGCCCCTCCTTCCCGGGGCAGAATCCAGAATCCGTGGCTCACTATCTTCTGGGCTCCAGCGATCCTCCTGCCTCTGCTAGGAGTGATCCCTGCCGGGCACTCTTGTCTGCTTATTCCCTCCCACAGCCAGGGAAACATTGGTGTGGTCACCATGGCAACCCTCCCGCCAATGCGCGCCACTAAGATACCAAATGTGTATTCTAAAAACGCTCCTTTGCCCTGTTGGCTGTTTTCAAGCTGATAATCTCAGAATATCTGACTTACCTTCAGTGCCCCATTCACTCAACTGTCTGCTCTGACCACACACGATTGCTGGACTTCTCATCCACGTCCCCGTGTTAGAGGACAGGAGCCACATCCTGGTCTCTTAACCCTGGGCCACCTGGGAAGAGCAGGTAGACAGGCCATGCTGAGAGCAATGCTCTGTCTTCTTAAATACACTGTTTATTGTGAAATAGTTTTAGCTTTACAGAAAAGTTGCAAACATAGCACAAAGAGTCCTCTTGAAAGGTACCAACTTACAGACCCAAGGCATTTACCCCGTAGGCCCTGTGCCAGCTTCCCTGAATGCTGAGCGTCTTACGCAGCCTGGCCCATTCCTACAGCTGGGAAGTGGCACTGCCAGGCGACAGTTAGTGGAGGCACAGCCTTTATTTGGGTTCCTCCCGTTTTCCCAGGAGTGTTCTCTTCTCTGTGCCAGGATCCCGTCCAGGGCCCCCCGTTGTACTCAGTCACCTTATCTTCTAGGCTGGTCTGTGACAGCTGTTGATTTTCCTTGTCCTTCATGACCTTGATCCTTTTGAAGAGCACTGTATGTTGTAGACTGCTCCTTAATTTGGGGTTTGTTCACTGTTTTCTCGTGATTAGGCTGGGGCTGTGGGTTTGGGGTGGACGGCCCCCGGTGAGGTGCTTGCTTGTTCCGTCATATGGTGGGTACAGGACAGTGATGGGCCTCCTCACCAGCCATGCGAACCCTATTCCTGTGGGCACCGTGGTCCTCGTCAGGAGAGGAACATTCATGACGTGAGTTTTTTTGTATCAAACCAATTAAACCCTGGGACCAGCTGCGTTATATCAGTTTCTTTAACTTTGGATGGGAGTGGAAGGTCCCCGGGGCCTTGTTCCCAGGACCTCTGTGACATTGCTGTTGAAACAAGCAGGCCGGCCCCAGGAAGGTGAGCGCCTGTGTTGTGGGGGGTTCATCTGGGCACTTTGATTCTTGCAGGGAATCCCTGTCTCAGTGACATTATGTGTTTGCCTGGGATGGACCTGGCTTCATCCCTCAGGCCCTCCAAGGCCGTGGCACAAGCAGGAAGATCCTCGAGCTCCAAAATCCCAAAGCTAAAGGGAAAAGGCAGGCTGGGAATGACGTAGCACCAATCTGCCTCCGTCTGACTCAACGTGCCCCTCTGCTCACTGAGATGGAAAAGTCAGGCTGGGAACGGCTTAGCGCCAATCTGCCTCCATCTGACTCAACGTGCCCCTCTGCTCACTGAGGTGGAAAAGTCAGGCTGGGAACGGCTTAGCGCCAATCTGCCTCCCGTCCGACTCAACGTGCCCCTCTGCTTACTGAGATGGGTGCAGATCCGGCTGTCTCCTTGGAGGCTAATCAGTATCTCGGAAAATGCAACCATTTGTCTCTATCTACCCAGGACCCAGAGCCCCTCCCGCTTCCAGTCTTCCCACTTGGCTTGGAGTTGTCTTGCCTTAACGGACCAACCCAGTGCTCCTCTGATCTGTGTTGACTGATGTCTCAGGTCTCCCTAGAAAGATAACACTGCCCTGTGCTCTGCCCATCTTGGGCACAGGTGGTCAGGACCTCCTGAGGCTGTGTCACAGGCACTTGTCCTCAACCTGGGAAAAATCATCTTTCTAAATTAACTGAGACCTGTCTCAGATTTTCGGGGTTCACACTCTCATCCGCCACTTACAAGAACTCTGTTGTTAGGATAATGCCTTGATTTTGTTGAGGAAATGGGGCAGTGGAAAGCCGTGCTCTTTTCACAAACAGGGTCACTGGGGCCGGGCAGAGCTCTCACTCCTCTCTCTCCCCGCAGCTCTCTACGGCGTTCTGTTTGAGAGGAGCAAGGAGGCTGCCTTCGCCAATTACCGCCTGTGGGAGGCCCTGGGCTTCGTCACGGCCTTCGGGTACAGCACGTTTTTGTGCGTCCACGTCAAGCTCTACATTCTGCTGGGGGTCCTGAGCCTGACCATGGCGGCGTATGGGATTGTGGAGTGTGTGGAGTCCAAGAACGCGATCAGACCCTGCGATCCAGGACAGGCCCAGCCCGCAGAGGACAAAGAAGCACAAGGAAAAATGTGAGAGCAGCCAGGTCGGAGGAGGACGAACCAGAAAGGACCAGCCAGGGAGTCTCCTAGAAGATGCCCCAGGACCCAGAGCTGGCTCCTCACCACCATTCAGCACTGTTGGCCGTTCTGAAGACACGTCATTGCACTCTTCACGCCCTTTCTTCTATTCTCACACATTTTTAGTCCACCATCTTGTCAACAGAGGCCAAGTGTATACCGGAAGGTGTCACTTAATTAAATTTTAGATACAAAAGAAGAAGGTCTAGAGCAGAATCAGAATTTGCCTGAAATCATAGACCCACCCTAGCTTTTGTTCTTGTAGTTATTTTGAGAATTGGAAGTCCACTTAAAATCATGTAGTCTAACCCCATAATTTCACACATGGGCAAACTTTTAAATGCTAAGTCTACTTGGATGAAAACATCAAACATTTCACAAAGGGGCCCTGACAAGTCAGCTGACTCAACCTCACAGAGTCAGGAGGTGGCAAAGCCAGACTGGGGCTCAGGATTCTTGAAGCGTGCGGGGTCTCGGTTTCTAAGTAAAGGCAGTTGTTTAAGGGACACGCCTCCTGCCCGGGTACTGTTGTGCTGAACACTCACGGGACACACAGGCTTCATGTCGTCAGTGCTTCACTGCACTGTGGCCTTCACAGACCTTCGAGAGCATTTCAGACGGAGACGCTCCACGCGTCTGTTAACGTGGAAAATGGCGCCAGCCGTGGGTTGGGTGACGTTTGCCCGCTTCACAGTCGCTATCTGGTCCCTTGGCACCTGGTCTCCTCTCTCACTCTTTCTTCTTAGCAGCGCTGCTGGCCACCCATCTCCAAGGCTTTTTTCTTGTCCACTACACTGGGGTCCTCTGGGCCTTCCCCGCCCTCACCTATCACCAGCAGCCGCCCTGCCCAGCCCCCTCCAGCCTTCCCCTCCTCTTCCTTCCCACCCCCATAATCCTCCCCAACAACCCAACTTCCCCCACTCTTTCCCCGACCCTTGCCCTTTCTCCAGCCCCGCTCAGGACCCGCCACCCTTCCCCAACTCCCCAGCCCTCCCTGACCACTCCCCACTCTCCCCCAACTCCCGGGCCCTCCCCAGCCTGTGCACCTGGAGCTTTTTTCTCCATTAACCCTAAGCTGCTTCCCCCTTCCCCTTCCTCTTCCTCCCCTTCTTCTTTGGTTCACACCGAGGCTTCTTCTAGACACTGGCGTCCTGTCGGCGGCTCTCACACCTGCGTGTGGTTTGATTTATTGTTTGTAGCAGGGTCTCCTCCTCCTGGAACTGCAGCGTCCAGCATCTGGCACCCAGCACTAGCATGTGCTGCATGCGTGCGAAAGGAAACGGGCCTGTCCCTGAAATCCCAGAGGCCGCCTGCACTCACCGTCATTCCGGAGGATGCTGGCCGCCTCAGGCCATGGGAAGAGGGGCAAATGCTGCCCGGCCCTGGCCCTTTCTCCTTCTAGTCAGTGTCAGCAGGTGCCCAGACGGGTGATGATGAAAGACAGAGAAAAGTGTAGCTGCCACGAGCTAATGTGTCCTCACCTCTCACATGTCAGCTCTCACCCTGTCCCACACGAAGCTGGGCATTTCCTCCCGCCTGTTAGAATTCCCCCGATAGCCCAGTGCCTCTGACCACCAGCTGCCTACCGTGCACCACAGGCTGCCTGGTGCCATCCCTGCTTGTAGGATTCATGGCTGCATTGCCCGGTGCCATCCCTGATTGTGGGATCCAGGACTGTCCTGTCTGGCACCTTGTCTGTGTGTGGGATTCATGGCTGTCTTGCCCAGCACCATCTCTGTGGAATCCATGACCATCTTATTTGACAAGATCCCTGTCTGTGAGATCCATGGCCGTCATGCCCGGCATCATCCTTGTCTGTGAGATCCATGATCGTTGTGCCCAGCATCATCCCTGTCTGTGAGATCCATGATCGTTGTGCCCGGCATCATCCCTGTCTGTGAGATCCATGATCGTTGTGCCCAGCATCATCCCTGTCTGTGAGATCCATGATCGTTGTGCCCGGCATCATCCCTGTCTGTGAGATCCATGATCGTTGTGCCCGGCATCATCCCTGTCTGTGAGATCCATGATCGTTGTGCCCGGCATCATCCCTGTCTGTGAGATCCATGGCCGTTGTGCCCGGCATCATCCCTGTCTCTGAGATCAATGACGGTCTTTGCAGCTCCCACAACATCAAGCTTGGGTCTTGTCAAAAGGAGTGGAGACTGGCTAGGGTATTTGTGTAGATGGCCTTCATTGAGGGAGAGGTGACATGTCACGTCCCCTCAGCTTGGAGGTTTAGGATTTTTACATTGACGATGGGGCGCTCCTGGAGCTCCTCAGGATGTCTCATTTGGACCTGGTCTTTAGATTCTCACTCTGCTTAGAGCATTTTGAGGCCTGTAGATCCTAAGTCAGCAGGAAGTCCTTAGCCCTTCGGGGGTAATGAGGCCTTTGCAGAATATCTTGGAGACAATGAACTTGGCCTGCTCATGTTGTTATGGGGGGCAGGAAGGAGTAAGCCCTGGGCCAAAGGCTGGAGGGAAGGACCCCAGACCTGAGAGGAGTCAGGGAGTGCATGTTCACGTGTCCAAACCAGTGTGCAGTCCCAGGGTTCAGAGCCCAGACACGGAGAGGAGTGTGAGCACAAGTCTTGATTTTATTGCAATTGTTTTAAAGGCAGGCTGGGAGGAGCCCTCACTGATCTTCTACCCTGGACGTTTCCTAGTGCCTGGGTGGCCTGCTGCTCAACATCGGAGTGAGCTGCAGGGTGGACTGACCTGGCTTAAAAGACGGTGTGGTGGTCAGAGTGTTGCAGGAAGGACTCAGTCCCTGAGACTGGATTTCAATGCTGGGAATCCCCTGGCCCATTGGTATCTCTCTGACCCTCTGTGGTAGACACTCAAATATGAGAAGCATGTAGGGAGACCCCATCTTGAACTCCAGGCTCCAAGACCAACCTTACCCCAATGACAGGGAGCAAGAAGTTATTTCCATTTCAGGAGTGAGGTGAAGCCGGGCAGCATCTCCAAGTGCTCCTGGGACAGCGAGCTTGATGGTGTACAAGAGTCCACTTGAGGCGGCAGGATCATCAGAATTCTGCTCAGAGAGTGAGTCATGATAACCTTCTATGCTTACAGGAAAGTGCCAGGCTCTGTGTGACAGGAGCACGAGCCACCTCTGAGTCACTGGAGTGACTCATTTCACATACAAAGGCACAGAGAGGCTCAAAGTCACAGAACAGAGGAATATTTACCAAGGCAATGGAGAGAAAGAGAAAAGCAGGGTTACAATCTTAGTATATGGTAAAATAAGGCTTTGAATCTGCAAAAATAAGAAAGATAAAAAAGAAAGGCGTTAGGTAATGGTAAAGGAATCAGTGCAACAAGAAGGGCTAACTATCCTAAATATATATGCACCCAAAACAGGAGCAGCCAGATTCATAAAGCAAGTTCTTAGAGACCTACAAAGGGACTTAGACTCTCGCCTAATAACAGTGGGAGACTTTACACACCTCTGTCAATGTTACACAGATGAACGAGACAGCAATTAACAAGGATATTCAGGATTTGAACTCAGCTGTGGGCCAAACAGACCTAATAGACATCTACAGAACTCTCCACCCAAGAGCAACAGACCTCACATTCTTCTCAGCACCAAATAGCACTTATTCTAAAATCCACTGCATAATTGGAAGTAAAACATTCTTCAGGTAATGAAAAAAATGGAAATCATAACAGTTTCTCAGACCAGAGTGCAATCAAATTAGAACTCACGATTAGGAAACTCACTCACAACCATGCAACTATTTAAGAACGAAACAACCTGCTCCTGAATGACTCCTGGGTAAATAACAAAATTAAGGCAGAAATAACGAAGTTCTTTGACACCAGTGAGAACAGAGAGACAACATACCAGGATCTCGGGACACAGTTAAAGCAGTGTGTAGAGGGGAATTTATAGCACTAAATGCCCACATTACAAAGAAGGAAAGATCTAAAATCCACACCCTGACATCACAATGGAAAGAACGAGAGAAACACGAGCAAACACATTCAAAAGCTACCAGAAAGCAAGAAATAACTAAGATCAGAGCAGAACTGAAGGAGATAGAGACACAAAAAGCCCTTCAAAAAATGGATGAATTCAGAAGCTGGTTTTTTGAAAAGATTAAGAAAATAGATAGATTGCAAGCCAGACTGATAAAGAAGAAAACAGAGAAGAATCAAACGGACGCATTGAAAAATGATAAAGGGGATACTACCACTGATCCCACAGAAATACAAGCTATGTATTCAGAGAATATCATATTCAGAGAATACGATAAACACCTCTATGCAAATAAATAAGAAAATCCAGGAGAAGTGGATAAATTCCTGGACACATACACCCTCTCAAAATAAAACCAGAAAGAATTTGAATTCCTGAATAGACCTGTAATAAATGCTGAAATTGAGGCAGTAATTAGTAGGCTGCCAATGAAAAGAAGTCCAGGACCAGAGAGATTTACAGCCGAATTCCACCAGAGGTACAAAGAGGAGCTGGCAGCGTTCCTTCTGAAACTATTGCAACCTCTACAGAAAGACGTTCTCCTCCCTATCTCATTTTATGAGGCCAGCATCATCCTGATTCCAAAAGCTGGTAGAGACAAAATAAAACAACAAAATTTCAGGCCAGTATCTCTGATGAACATCAACGTAAAAATTCTCAATAAAATACAGACAGACCAAATCCAGTAGCACATCAAAAAGCTTATCCACCATGATCAAGTCAGCTTCATCGCTGGGATAAAGGCTGTTCCAACCTACACAAATCGATAAGCGTAATCCATCACATAAACAGAATCAATGACGAAAACCACGATTATCTCAATAGATGCAGCAAAGGCCTTTGATAAAACTCAACACCCATTCATACTAAAAACTCTTAGTGAACTGAGTTTTGATGGAACACATCTCAAAACAATAAGAGCTATTTATGCCAAACCCGTAGTCAATATCATAGTGAAGGAGCCAACGCTGTAAGCATTCCCTTTGAAACCAACACAAGACAAGGATGCCCTCTCCCCCCACTCCTGTTCATCTTAGTATTGGAAGCTCTCACCAGACCAATCGAGCAAGAGAAAGAAATTAAGAGTATTCAAGTAGGAGGAGGGGAAGTCAAATTGTCTCTGTTTGTAGATGATGTGATTGTATAGTTAGAAAACCCCATCGCTTCAGCCCAAAAACTTTTTAAGCTAATAAACAACTTCGGCAAAAATCTCAGGATACAAAAATCAATGTGTAAAAATCACAAACATTCCTATACCCCAATAACAGATAAGCAGAGAGTCAAATCAAGAGTGAACTTCCAGTCACAATTGCTATAAACAAAATAAAATATCTAGGAATTCAACTTACAAGGGATGTGAAGGACCTCTTCAAGGAAAACTACAAACCACTGCTCAAAGAAATAAGAGAGGACACAAACAAATTGAAAGTAATTCCTTGCTCATGAATAGGCAGAATCAACATTGTGAAAATGACCATACCGCCCAAAAGTAATTAATAGATTCAATGCTATTCTTATCAAGCTACCATTGACTTTATTCACAGAACTAGAAACAACTACTTGAAATTTCATATGGAATCAAAAAAGCCCTGTATAGCCAAGAGAATCCTAAGCAAAGAGAACAAAGCTGGAGGCATCACACTATCTGACTTTAAACTATACTACAGTGCTACATTAACCAAAACAGCATGATACCTGGTACCAAAACAGATGTATAGAGCAATGGAACAGAACAGAGGCCTCAGAAGTAACATCACACATCTACAGCCATCTGAAATTTGACAAACCTGACAAAAACAAGTAATGGGGAAAGGATTCCCTATTTAATCAATGGTGCTGGGAAAACTGGCTGGCCATATGCAGAAAACTGAAACTAGACCCCTTCCTTACACCTTATACAAAAATTAGCTCAAGACAAATTGAGGACTTAAACATAAAACCTAAAACCATAAAAATCTAAGAAGAAGACCGAGGCAATACCATTCAGGACATAGGCACGGGCAAAGACTTCATGACGAAAACACCAAAAGCAATGGCAACAAAAGCCAACATTGAAAAATGGGGTCTAATCAAACCAAAGAGCTTCTGCTCAGCAAAAGAAGCTATCATAGTGAACAGGCGACCTACAAAATGGGAGAATGACTTTTGCAATCTATCCATCTGACGACGGTCTAATACCCAGAATCTATAAGGAACTTAAACAAATTTACAAGGAAAAAACAACCCCAACCAAAAATCGGCAAAGTATATGACCAGACACTTCGCAATAGAAGACATTTCTGCAGCCAACAGACATATGAAATTATCACTGGTCATTAGAGAAACGCAATCAAAACCACAATGAGATACCATCTCACGTACCATCACCAGTTAGAATGGCAGGCATTGAAAAGTATGGAAATAACAGATGCTGCCAAGGATGCAAAGAAATAGGATCACTTCGACACCGTCGGTGGGAGTATAAATTAGTTCAGCGATTGTGGAGGACAATGTGGCGATTCCTCAAGGATCTAGAACCAGAAACACCAGTTGACCTACTAGGTATATACACACAAAATTATCAATTATTCTACTATAAAGACACAGGCACACACAAGGATTATGAATCATTCTACTATGAAGACACATGTGTGCATGTGTGCATGTGTCTTTATAGTAGAATGATTTATAATCCTTTGTGTGTCTGATAACCTGGAGTTGCATGGAAACTCCAGCCAAGGTTGGGAGGGTGGCCCTGTGTATGCCCCCATCCCAGGACCTGCCCCTTCTGCAGAGCACAGGGGCCGGGATTACTAGGAGCAGGGGTATGGACTGGGACCCCAGGGGCGCTTGGTAGTCAGTCCTTAATGTTTACTGGGGCATTATTTACAATAGCAAAGACTTGGAATCCACCCAAACCCTATCAATAATAGACTGGATAAAGAAAATCTGCTCTATGTACACCATGGAATACTGTGCAGCCTTAAAAAAAATGAGTTCATATCCTTTGCAGGGATATGGATGAAGCTGGAAACCATCATCCTCAGCAAACTAACACAGGGACTCATAAGGGGGAGTCGAACCATGAGAACACATGGACACAGGGAGGGAAACATCACACACCAGGGCCTTTCTGGCGGTGGGGGGAGTGAAGGGAGAACATTGGGACAAATACCTCGTGCGTGCAGGGCTTAAAACCTAGAGGCCGGGTTGACAGGAGCAGCAAACCACCATGGCCCATGTGCAGCCATGTAACAAACCTGCACGTTCAGAACATGTAGCCTAGAACGTAAAGTAACATAAGAAATCCTAATAGGCACAGTAAGAGGTTAACAACCAAACTGATGATAAAATGGAACAATTCTAACCATACGCTGTGATAAGTTACGTGACTGTGGTCTCTCTCGCTGTGACAATGTCTTATTCTGGGGACTCACCTATATTCAGACCACAGAAAGCAAAACCGTGAATTAGGGGCCGCTACTGTGCACGCGGAGATTGAAGCATCTCACACAGAACACACTTACGGAACCAGCACCCAGACCAAGTCACGAAACACCACCAGCACCAGCGAGACCCGGGGCAGCCATTGCCCCCACTTGCCCCAAGGCAACAGCTTCCAAAGCTGGAGGCTCCTTTTGTGGACTTAATTGGATGTCTCCCCATCTTGATTAACATTTATTATGAAAGTGTCATGTTCATTATAGTCCTTCAAACAGCACTGAAGCAACGAAGGTAATAAAAGTCCATTCTCAATTACGGTTTACTACTCCCCCAATGAATCAGGTACTGTGCTCACTGTGGGGTTTTAGGGAATGTAACTGGCAAAATGTCTAGGGTTTAGCCACCAGGTTGGAAGATCTTTGGGAGGCACAGAAGGCCCCCCGAGTTCCCCGAAGCCAGGCTGGTTTTCAGTCTTTCTCTCTCAGGCTCGGTAGAGGGTAGACGGAGTTCCTCTTCCGTCAACCACCAAGGAGGCACGTCTTGGTGCTCACTGGAGGGAAAGGGCAGGGGTGTCATAAAACGGAGAAAATCTTACATATTCCTACAGAATTTTTTCACTTCGCCCAAATTATAGATGCAAACATCATAATGAATCTAACCTCCCCTCGATCCCATCGGGAGAGCACATAAGTGTGTGTCCTGGCGCCAAGAGTGTCCTGGAGCCAGGGATAGATTTACGCCATAATAGTGGGCATCTGTGAGGTCCACACGACAGAATATAGAGACCCCCTCCCCCAGCACGTTGACTGCAGCATGTCGCCAGGGCAGGAGGAGATGCTGGACCTACCCTGTGGTGGGATCCAGGGTTCCTCTGGGTTGGGCCTCTGACCTCGAGGCTAGAATTCGTGCAGTCAGGCCCTGGGAGGTACGAAGCGCATCTCCAAACCTTTCTATGTCTGGTAACCAGGAGCTGCAGGGAGAACTCAAGCCGAGGAGAGAACTGAGCCCCATGTGAAGTCAGGGAAATAATCAAAGCAGACAGCACATGCTTTGGGGAAATGTGTGTGCTCCTAGTGCTCACTGTAGAAAAACACACATTTTTATAGAAAATGCGCAGCACATACTTTTCGTGCTGAAGTGCCCTTGGCCGTCTCCTCCCATCTTGATCGCTTCTCCTTCTTCTGCCAGACACCCCAGCAGAAGGTAGCTTGGAGGTGACGGAGGTGCATGCGGGAACATCTCCAGTTGGAGGGACCAATGACACACGGTTGAGTGAACGCAGATTTACACATCGCCTCACCAGGTGACGTGGGCCAGGTGCTCTTGCTTGTGCCCGGATTGCCTTCCTTGGCCGTGCACGACGCCCAGATAAAATAACCGCACCCATCCACCCTTCCTGCACGCTCAGCAGGACAGTCCTGGTGGAAGAATTTAATTTCACTTATTTTTGCAAAATTTACCCCCGCATGTGCCGGGAGGAAAACAACCAATAGTTAACAGTGCGTGAACATGTAATGGAGAAAGGAGATGCCTTTCAGATTACGTATTACCAATGACTCTTGCTCTTGGTTTGCGGATTAGGAAATTAGCCACGTTTCCCTGCGCTTGGCAGAGCCCAGGCAACATTTCAGCGGCTTGCTGTGCAGTTTATATAGAGTGACGGGAAGCAGTGGGTTGTTCTGGGAGATGAAGGCGATGCCTGTAATTGCTAGATGGCAAGGACGCGTTCAACTGTCATGCACGGAGGCGGGGACTTGCCGGAGCCGGCACGGGCCGAGGGGAGAGAGTCTGCGGCTGAGATGCATGGCAAGGGCTCTCCAGTTCCTGCGGTTCTGGACTGCAGAGGAGGCGGGCACAGGCCGTAAGATGAGCGAGGACATGGCCTGAGCTGGTAGGAGGGGTCCTGCTGGGATCTCTGGCACAAACTTGGCTTAAACAAAAGTATACACATTCATTTTGGAAACTGAACTGTTTATTATAGAAATAAAATATTTTAAGATTCTTTGAGGGGAAAGGGACAGGAGACCCTGGGAAGAGCAGGTGCCTCCCCTCCAGGCAGCCCACCAGGCCTGCTCCCTTTCTGCTGGCCTCTGAGGCCTCACGTGTGGGGACTGGCATGAGGCCCACTGGGGAGGAGAGAAACCTTGGAGCTCGGAGGAAGGAAACTGCGATGAAGCCTGAGTCCCTGTCCCGAAGGGGTCCTGACACACTGGGCCCCGCCCTGAGTCCATGACTGGCCTCCCTTTGTGAGGAGAGCAGGCCCTGCATCATCAGGCCACCAGACTCCTTCCAGCCTCCTGCACATTTCAGCTGGGCACTGCGGTAGCTGCATGGAGACCCACAGAACCCACCCTCAGAACAGCGCCTGATGAGAAGGCCGGGCCTGCATTCCTCCACACCAAGCCAGGCGCCCGGTAAGCGTAGGAAGAGACACAAAGGGTGGGAGTGTGGCTGCGTGCACGGCCCTGTCCCAGGACCAGCCCCTTCCGGGGAGCACAGGGGCTGGGGTCACCAGGAGCAGTGAGTGTGCACTGGGATCCCTGGTGCACTGGTAGTCAGTCCCTAATGCTCCTTCAAAGGAAAAGCAGTCCAGGCTTCTAGAAGTTGTGCACTGTTCAATGCACACGTTCTCATGGTGTCCAGGGCCTTCTGCGCTGTGATCCCAGTTGTACCAGAGGCACGAAGTAGGTCCAGTTCTGAGACTAAAGTGAGCAGAGGAGGGGAGGCGAGTTCAGTGCATCCTACAGCAGGTGCAGGAAGTTAACTGAATTCAGCCAAAACCTACTGAATGGCCGCTGTTTTCTGGGCACTGTGACAGATGCTCCGGTTATGTGACTGAATTGGATCCTACATGAAACACACATGGCTCTGATTTAGGGGTGAGCATAATTGTTCCATAGGGTAAGTGTGAATTGGTATGGACCCCACAGGAGAAAAATAAAATTCCCCCAGTGGGGGAAAGCAAGGACTTTGAGGAGGAGTGAGCATTCACGCTGGGCTTCCTGGGAGAGGTGGACTTCCATCGGCAGAAATTCAGGGTTTCTGGGGTCCTTTGAGGCCGAGGAGGGTGGGCCAAAGCATGGGGCTCCTGTCATCACCAGAGGGTGGGAAGCGGGCTGTGAAATGCTGAACAGTGGCGGAGGACATGGGCAAGGCCCTGAGTGCCTGCGTGCCGGCCTGTGGACTCCACACCGCAGGCAGAGGTCATGCTGAAGGAAGAGACCCCACCTGCTTCTCCAGTCTGCAAAGGGGCAAAGTCAGCATTCCCAGCCTGGGACTAGTGTCGGCGTCTGCGTTTCAGGCAGCTCAGTCTACCCCGGTGTGTTGGAAATGAGGCTACTCTGGGTGGCCTGGGGCCGAGCGTGCACATGGGATGGGATCTCTGACCTCTGAAACCTTAGAACTTTCTGAAGAAAACAGAACTTTCCTGATAATTAACAGAAAAAATAGCACATGGTCTCTGGTTTGATAATAAAATAATTATTCTGCATTTCAAGCAATACAATTTTTATTCAAAAGCACATTTATGTAAGAGCGATTTTAAGCTGGTCAACATAAAAAACATGACTAACCATATCGTCTATAATTAGTGTGAGAAGCATCCTCCTTCCATATAAACCGTAAGCCACAGCTATCAACTATGCATCAGGAAGGGTGACGAGCAGGACGCTGACCGTTACAGGCCAGATGCTTTAGGGCAACTGATTTCCACAACTGGTTTCGCTGACCTAGAATCATCACGCACAGGGCCTGCAGCTGCTGTGCCTTCCTACCCAGTAACGGTGGGATGTTTCCTAGTCTAGGCCAAGCCTGTCCAGCCCGAAGCCCTCGGGTCTCATGCATCATAGGAGGGCTTTGAGTGTGACCCAATACTAATTCCTAAACGTTCTTAAAACATCCTGAGTTGGTCTTGCCATTTTTTGTTTGGGTGTTTTAGCTCATCAGCTGTTGTTAGTGTGAGTGTATTTTTTGTGTGGCCCAAGACAATCCTTCTTCTTCCGACGTGGCCCAGGGAAGCCAAAAACCTGGACCCTTGGTAGACAATGTAAATGAAAGGACATGACCAAGACAAGTCAATCATTTAATTAGTTCATGTGCTAAGATTAAGGACGAACCCGGGAAAAAGAACACAGAACCTGGGAAAAGGCTGTGGCTTATGCTATTCCCCTGGAGAAGAGCTGGGGACCTTAATAATTAAAGGTAAATGAGTGGGTCTTGGGGGAAAAGAAGAGGCTCAATAAGAGGGACGTGATTGCATTATTCTGAGTCATTGATCAGCATTCACTGAACACACATTTTACAAGTGGGGCGGGTAGGGGACAGTCACTTAGCATTCGTCCTGCTCAGTGAAACTTGATTTTTACATGCGATGAAATAAACCTAGGACAGAGGATGCATCGGCTACACACATGCCTCAGGTAAGCGGGGGCATGACTTTGAGGTCTCCCCTTTGTCCCGAGCCTGTGAAGAAGAGCTGTCAGCTCCCATTGTCAAGGTGAGTTCAGCAGAGCGGTGCTGGGGTAAAGCCTTGGAGCCCCCCAGGAATCTCCTTGTGAGGGAGGTCTGTATGTGGCTCCTTCATCTTCACAGCCATTGTGTGTAGGAGTAAATGGGAGGCAGGTTTGCCGGATGCGGTTCCCAGCTTGACTTTTCCCTCCAGATTACAGGACTTGGGGTCCTGAGATTCATTGTTGTTTCCCAACAACTCACTTCTAAATTTGGAAATCACTGTGCTAAGCCATGTGAAACAACAGCCGTGTATGAATTTTACATTTACACCAAGATGGCATATAGGTTTTTACATAACGACAGCTTGACTACAGGGGTGGCCATTCATAGCGAAAAAGCAAAGGAAACCATATTTGCACAAGAGACAGAAAAATACAGGTGATGTGTGGTGAATCTCCAGGAACTCCAAGTAAGGCAGGAAGATGCTTTTGTAATCAGTCTTTGGAATCCTAAACATCTGTCTTTTTCTATAAAAGTGCAGTGTCTTTCTGTCTTTGCACAGGAAGGAGGCAAACAGCAGCATTGCCTATTCATTGGCCGATGTCTTCCTTGGTTCTCTTCCTTGGTGAAAACCGCTTTTACAGCATCTGGTGCCAGGTCAGTTAAGAAGGGCCCCTCTCCCTGACCCCAAAATATGTTCTCCTGTTTGAGTTCAATGACAGCTGAAATTCCTGGTGTTGATCCACGTGGTTTAACACCTCAGCTGTATCCCGGGGTAAATAGAAAGCGGCCCTTTAAGCCGCGAATGTGCCCAGAAGATAAAATGTGAAGAAAGAGACTCTCAGTAATTTTTCCAGAGCCTGTCTTGGAAGGAAGAAAGCACCAAAACTAGGAGCTGCAGGCTACGGAGGCTGCCGGTCCCTGCGAGCCCCTCCCTCCTACTGGGCCCTGTCGTCTGTCAGTCTTCTGGGAAACCCGTGGGCCCTCATCTAGGGATCAGGAATCCTGCAGTGATGGAATTCACTGTTTTTAGCTGACTTTCCTGTCATGGACCCATACACCCAGGATGATATCATCAAGATATGGAAAAGGGGGGCCTTCCCGCCTTCCCACGCCAATTCCTAGAGAATTGGGTGCTCTGCTCATTAGAATGCTGTCTGCGCTCTGATGAGATTGACTGGAGTTCTCGCCCTTGGGGAGGGAAGAGCTGTGCAGGACTGGAAGTGCCCGTCTGTTGGCGGCATGGTGGAAGATGCCCTGTTTGTCCTTTTTCTAGGTGCATATGCAGTTGGGGTAAATGGTGGCTCAGTACTGAATGGTGGGTGGTATTTCCTTCCAGATGAGGACTCTGACCTTAGGAGTTTCCAGCGGGCGGCATTTCATGGTAACAGAGTCCGACCACACAAAAGGCACATTGGCCTCCATTGCCTGCTCTCGTAGCCTGTGATGGGGCCACAACTCTGCTGAATCTTCAGGACCCCAGAGTTGACATCCTCTGAGCTTGGCTCTGGGTTCTCCACCAGTATCAGTGCAGATTCTGGGCGGGGCTTTCTCCTACCAAGGGAAACAGGGACAAGGACCTCCACTGTCTGGCATGAGCTCCCACCGCCCTTCCTGGACACTGGTTTCGTGGAATAGCTCAGGTGTGCCCTGGCTTCCTTCTGGCAGCTTTTATGTGGCATTCTGTCTGCAGTGTCCTCGGATGCCCAGTCAGGGACTCGCTATACCAGGCCCATTGACAAAAGAGCACCTTCGGGGTCTTCAGGGTCCTCAGGGTCTTCAGGGTCTTCGACGTTCAGGTGGCTCAAAGGGCCCAGTCCTCTCTCTGTGGCCCCATCCTTGGCATGGACCTGCTCACAGAACCCTCCCACAGCCACACCTGAAACACAGGCTCCCACCTGAGGAAGCATTTGGCAGTGCAAGGCAGAGATCACGATGTTACTGATATCGTCAGAAAGGTTTTTTTGTAGTTTACATATTATTAGCAAAATTACACTTTTATCCACTTTAGAGACAATCGGGACTCAATAGTGTGACTTCCCAGTGAGGCTGAAAACCCTGGCCCCAACTAAAGTTCTTCGCAATTTTGAGGGAGTGTTGAGTACCTTCTTCTCAGATGACGCTTGTCAGCGCTGAGAGCTCTTTCAACTGGGTTGTTCCATCTATGATCAGGGTTAGGACCCGGCTGGTGAAATTGACAGGTGTCCCAGCTTCTGCCCCAAATAAATGGCAAATATTGTTAAATGATTCATAATTCCATGTTATTTTTTGTTGTAATACATTTGTATAGTGCATCTATATTACACACTCCTCCGCCTTTTTAATCTGAGTACGCTGAACCTAATTTAATCTTCTCTAGACAATTTAAATCATGGGTTATAAACTTTGGCTAATACGAATGGATGCCTCCAGGGCCTAGTCAGGACCCAGCCTCTGTAGTCAAGTGCTCGAGACCACTGTGGTTTTATAGGTTATTTGCATCTTTCATTAATTTTATTACACAAGTAGTCATTCTTGTCTGGTTCCAGCACCGTCTCACCTACCTCCGATGTATTATAGGCTAGAAGCCCAGATATCCAAAGCCGTATTTTATGTCATAGAAATGTCTGTGTGTATAAATATATATACTGTAAACTGGGACGACAGAATTTTAGTAACCGTGATGGATTGACCAATTCTGTATGTTCCTTGTCAAAGCAACAGCAACACTGGAGAGCTGTGTTCACAGTGGATGCTGGTTTGTTCACAGATCTTTGAGAACCGCCACCCCAGCCCGTACCTCTGAGGCAAACCACACTGAGCAGCGGACTGCAGGCCTGCGAGCAAGGCTACAGGAGGTGGGTGTCTCCTTCCCTCCCTGACCAGGCGGTCCAACATCAATGCTGGAGAAAAAGGGGGGGTGGGCAAGCCAGGAAGTCCCTCCTTCCTCCTTCCCTCCTCCTTCCTCCCTCCTTCCTCCTTCCTTCCACCTTCCTCTGTCCTTCCTCCTTCCTTTTTTCCTCCTTCATTCCTTCCTTCCACTTTCTTTATGTCCTTGCCTCCCTCCCCTCCTCCCCTCCGTCCTTCTTTTTCCCTCTCTCTTCCTTCTTCCTCTTCCTTCCTCCTTCTCTCCTTCCTTCCCTTCCTCCTTCCTGCCCTCCCTTCTTCCTTCCTTCTCTCCTTCCTCCTTTTCTCCTCTATCCTTCCCTCATTTTCTCCTGCCCTCCCTCCCTCCTTCCTTGTAAACCTTCACTGAAAGTACAGCATCTGTCAAAATTCACTTCTTTTACATCCATCAGAAATTTTAAACGCTGCAGAACTTCCACCAAGTAAGTCACGTGTGTCATCATGTGATCATC